GTTCATTTTTAGGAGCGAAATGACTTTGCCACCCACAATTTACGACTTTCCAATCACCATTATCTTTTGTATTAATTTGTAATACGACAATGGGGGCTTTGGTGACTAATATCAAAGGGATGTCACATCGACATTCCAGAAGCACTGTATTTAAATAATGATTAAAAGCAACGACATGATCTTGGTTTTAATAAGCAAGATAACTATAACAAAACATAAAATAACGACTTAAATGTAACTTAAGTACGCAAATAACAAAGGAAAACTATTGAAACATAACTTAATACTTTGTATTACCTCCCCTAGCCTCTAAAATAGTCCTAAATTGTGGGTGGCAAATTCATTTGACTCTAAAAAATAAACCAAGGCATATTTTGACATGAAACAAAAAACGCAGTGCTTAGGTTACATGGTTGCAACCGAAAAAAAAGGTTTTACGAAAATTCGCGAACGAAATTATTCCACAGAATGTTTCAAAGTTAGGATAATAAAACCACGAATACCCGTACAATAAGGCATAATATAAAATTTTATTAAAAAACTGACTATACCAAATTAAAATTTATAAATTATACACAGTGTGCTAAAAAAATCATCAAAATAGGACTAAAAGTAAAAAAATTAAAATACTTTGAATTGACCAAATTTTCTCTGTTGCGTTTTTTTGCATCTGAGTTTATTTGATCAATTATGATATTTACACACATATGCGAATATTGCGTATACAAAAATATAATTGCCAAAACAAATCAATTATAGCATTCCTAATCGATCTATCTCTTCTGTTCTGTTACATTTGAAATTCCTATGACATTTTTTTCTATCAGAAAATTTTTACTCAGAACTCAAATTTTATATAAATTATTGTTAATGATAAGAACTCTCATAACGCCATCACATGGCAAAAAATCTACCTGAAGCATCAGATAAAGAAAGTCATTACTAATAATGCCATCGTGATTGTTTACATTTGGTTATTAACAAACCGTATTGTTTATCTGTCGCTTATTGTTGTCTAATGATTTATTTGTCTCCTATAAAACTGCTATTTTGTATACGTAATGACTCATAGAAAATAGATAAAGGCATTATTCAATATGATGATTCAAAATTAAAATAACTTTTTTTATTACTGCAATAAGTAACAAGCATCGTTATCGTCATTATAACTCACAGTGGAGTGTCAATTTAAAATTTTCGAATTGAAACAGGGTAATGATAGTGAGCCTGTTAATTTTATGTATTGCTGGTTTTAAATGCATTGGCGAGAATTTTTTGGAACCGTAATGTCTAACCTAATGAAGCAGTGGCAATTACATTTTTCCGACTTTCATTCTCCAATTTTTTATTTTCGACATTGAACAATTGTTTATATACTTTCTTCCTGTTATCTTTACTTACTTTGGCAAATTAACATAACGTAAAATTAACATCTTATTTTGCAATTGTATTTTTAACTGCTTTCAAACCATTTCTGTAGGGTTTAACTCTGGTAAGGTGGAAGTTTTAAGAAATATGTCCACATTATTGCAGTAACTTGTCAAATTTATATTGAATATGATCTTGCTTGTGTTATTTGATGATTTCATTAGTTATTATTCAATTACTTTTTCTGTCAACCAAGATAACTTATCTGCTTTTTTAGAATTACTGGTAGGTGCTTTATTAATTTGAACATTATGGTATATAGCAGTATTAAGGGTAACAGAACGAGCAAATTGGGGATTAACTGTTCTTTAAACCATGTTTCGTAATTTTTTGTATTCATATCATGATAATCTTCCAACTTCACACTTGATGTAAAAATCAAAAGGGCATTCGGTATGAAACCAATTTTCTAACCACCCTGTGTAACCAACCTATTTTCTTTTGAAATAGTTTTGAACACTCCTTTACTACTATCATCTGACCATATTTTGACCATAGTATGTCTGTGCTTTGTGCTCCGTCGACTACTCGAAAGCGTTCGATAATGTAAAGTGGCATAAAATGTGGGAATTACTGAGAGAAATGGGTACCCTCGAACATCTAATATACTTACTGAAACAACTCTATATCAACATCACAACAAACGTAAGAGTCAACAACATATCCCACGATATTCAATGTATATATAGCGAACACATGCGCATTGTATTCGACGGATGGCAAGGAGGAATATCAGTCGCAGGCCGAAAAATCAGCAATCTGTGCTATGCTGACGACACTTTAGTACTAGCATCTTTAAAAAATGACCTTGACTACATCATGAACAGACTAGATACTATTAGTCGTGAACTGACTTAGTCATGGACTTAAAATTAATGTAAGTACAGAAGACCAAGATAATGATAATCGATCGAATTAGAAATAACCAGCCGGAAATACGAAACGTAGCTGGGTTTGAAATGGTAAGTAGTTTCAATTACTTAGGTTCTGTTATCACAAACAATGGTGGATGAGAAGAAGGGATGCGAAACTTGGACCATTAAAAAGTCCGACTCCCGACGTATAATGGCCTTTGAAATGTGGGTATATCGTAGAATGATGCGCATACCCTGGACAGCACATCGCACAAATGTCTCAATATTGACAGCACTAGACATCAATACTAGGCTTACCACAATCATCAACCAAAATATATTGAGTTACTTTGGAACACATTACCAGACGAATAGAAGGCATGGAGAGGTTGGTGGTTGAAGGCAAGGTAGAAGGTAAAAGAACTTAAGGAAGATCGCCACTCCGATGGTCAGACCAAATAAAGTGCGCTACCGGTTACTCTCTGTCTGAGGCAGCGCACCGCGCCCAGGAGAGAGAAGAAAGGATAGCAACCATTCGTCAAATACCATAACGTCACCACATCACTATGAAGGATAAAGGATAGAGGAGGAGGATGTCTTACATATACATAGGTTTCATCAACATATACAATTAACTGACCTTCACTTCTGTAGTATTTAATATTGCCCAAATTATTTAGTCGTAGAGCACGATTATCATTCCTCTTAATTAATAAACGTCAATTATTATAATTCGTTTTTTTTTTTCATTTAAATCCCAAATCTTTTACAGCCTATAGAGAGAACTCACACTTCCATTTCACTCGTACGCCTCTTCAAGCTTTTCTGCAATAGCTTCAATGACACACGACAACATTTAGTCTCTTGAAAATGGTAAATTGTGTTTCTAATGAACTGTTTGTCGTAGTCCCTGAGGTCTGTCACAGTTGCTTTTATTTTGGCAGGTATTTGGTAGCTGGGAAATCTTGTTAATTATTTAAATCTGCATTTGTTATTTTCTTTGTTGAACGATCCTGTTCATTCTTCTGGGCGCACTGTTAATAAAGTTTAAAACTTCATTCTGTGGCATTTAAATATTCTCTGACAATGCAGGAGGCAAGAAAGCGTGCATTGTAATACATCATTGTGAAGTTTTCTCCCATAAACGGTGCATATTGACAATATAATTTTGCAGCATTTCATTTATGTATCTGTCAGCGGTCAGAGATCAACTACGGACAACGTAAAATTCTGTACGCGCCTCCGAAAATATATCAGCCCACAGCCTGTTTGAACCGCCTTGAAAACTTACTCTAGGGCTAAAAGTGCACTCAGCATATCATTCACCATGTCTTCTCCAGACTCTTCCGCGACTATCTAGGGAACATAGACAAAATCTGAACTCAACGCTGGATCCGCCAGCCACGTAAACTTGATTTCTTGCGTCCGGAATAAGATCAACAATAGATGCAACAATTTATGCACTCAAATATTTGAAATTGCCAATACTTGACACAATCATGATAATAATAAACATTTTTGACAGTAATAAACAGAAATGACGTAGTAAAAACAATTCAAAGTCGCACAGCCTCCTTGTAACACTGAAGTAGTATAAGATGAATAACTTCATATCATGATATTTTGTAATAATATATGGAAAATTTGAACGATAAAAGACATTTCTTGTTAAAACTATCTTTAGTTATTTCAGGTTCGGAATCAAGAGATCTAAAAATTAGGTTATTTTCGTCAGAAATTATAAGGGTGCCTGTTTTTCGCGCCGGTGAGTGTATATTCATTCTGTGGAATTTCATTTACTGTGCTCTGGAGATGTTTGTGGTTCCACAGTAGAAGAATTATTTCGCGCAGCAGCCGACAGAGAAAGGTTTCAGGAAATTGTAAACATGATGACGGCCAACGTCTGAATACGGACACGGCACCCAAAGAAGAAGAAGGAGATGTTTGTAGAAGCTTTCTCTTGTATTTACATCTGTCGCTTCAACTCCATCCAGATGGTCGGGTACTTAACATCCGTACCATGAACACAATTTTTGAATGCGTTTTTTTGTTTGAGACTGCCGCCTTACCATTGCGAGCTGAACGCACGCATTCTAGAGTATTCTCTGCCTTCCCTCGCTCTAACCGTTTCCATCTCTCTGTATTCCCATTCTCCATCGTCTGGCCTCTCTTACTCATGGCGTCGTCTACTTCGTTCCTCCAGGATCTTCGGGGTCGTCCTCTTTTCCTCCTTCCTATGGGATCCATTAGGTTATTCTCTTTGTCCATCTGCTGTCGATAGTTCTTCTTACATGCCCATACCACTTTGGTCTTTTTTTTGCTTTATTTCGTCATTACTACTCCTATCCATTCTTGTTTACTCGAGAACATTATATACATTATATGTGGAGTAAATCCTTGACGTATATTTGAGGACTTCTGAAACAAAGATGTTGTTTCGTACTCGTCTAAATTAGCTCTGATTTTTGTAAGCAGCTGTGCCTACTATTCGGGAAGTCTTTCTTGATACCAGATATGCTTTTTATGCACACGGAACACTAACACTGTTGTGATTTATACATTTATACGTTCACATAAACAATTAAATTTGTTTAACTAAATTAAAAATATTTTTAAATAGCTTTAGATGTTCAAATTCGAAATTAACAGAATCTGAATATACATTATTCAAAAGGTACTATTATATAGTAATATATAGTAATATATAATTTGTTTTAGAGTATGTGTTTCCAATTCATCAATGCCTTATTAAGCGAAACGGAGGACTTCGAGTTCCGTATGCATTTAAGAAACGAAATTGTAAGAAACGGACTTTACGAAAAACTACGTAAGTATTCAATTTCTGTTTTATTTTTATTATCCATCATGTTCTGTCTTCAAAAATCATTTTTATGGTGTTAGAACTTAAATAAATGTGTAGTGTTATTATAAAAATATTAGCAATTCAGTAAAAAGCAGAAATAAAATTTCATTAACCTACATAGCACCATGTAAGAAGTATTCACTTCTGTCGGCACCCCCAAGTGCCACGTTCTTTTTTTTTTGTAATTTTTGTTTGTTTTCATGTTTACAGAAGAACTAAGGAACGAGAGTAATCCCCAACTAAAAACTCAGTTTGAAATATTCGAAAACAGACGAGAAGATGACGCGGACGAATGGCACGAACGATTTGACAAGGTCAGGCTCGACATGGACGATATTCAAGATTGCTTCGAGGTCTTAAAAAATATCACTCTAGATACGCCGTCGGAGCCTTATTTTTTAAGTATCTTGCAACATCTCTTGTTCATTAAGGAAGATGTCAATATCAGGTGAGTACGATGTAGATTTTGCTTATTGATTTCTAGAAATCAATATGCAAAGACCAAACATAAATAGAGACAAAGCTTGCTAAACTGAAAAATTACTATTTGATATATATATAATATATATATATATATATATATTTGATCATCATTAAATCTTCGCTTATCCACTGCTGGACACAGATCTCCCCATAATTTTTCATCTATTTCGATCTTGTGCCTCTTACATCCAATTCCTGTGACAACGTTTTAGATCGTCAGTCTAACGTGTTGGTGCACGACCTCTGCTTCTGTAGGCATCATCTCTTGGTCTCCATTCCAATATCCGCTTTGTCCATCTATTATATGTCATTCGAGCCACGTGACCTGCCAAGTTCCATTTCAGTGTTGTTACTCTCTACACTGCATCAGCCACTCCTGTTCTTTGTTGTAGCTGGCGATTTGGGATCTTGTCTCGTAGTGAAACGCCCAACATAGCACGCTCCATCACCTTTTGACACACACGGACCTTTTGAACTGTTCTCCTTGTCATGGTCAACGTTTCCGCACCGTAAGTCAACACTGGCAATATATTGCCAGTGTTGATATATTTGATCATATACAGGTAATATAATCGATGTTTATTTTTAGGCCAGCTTATTTTAAATTAATTGAAGAAGTGATAACGCAGATAGTACTCAATAAGGCGGGTCTAGATCCTGATTTTAAGAAAAAACATATAGACATCGACCTTCAGCCGCTTCTAGAGGAACTTAAAGGTAAGCCGCATTCATATATTTATTATATCAACTCCAAAAATTCGTCTGTACTACTCAAAACGCAACTGTCGTTTAACTGAAGGGGGGGGAGGCAGTGTAACAAACATGGTACTTTTTTGCTTCTTTCCCTGATCTAATTAATAAGAGTGATAGGAATGTACCGCGTAGCTTGAGGGAGGGTTTAAGACGTTACAATAGGTGCACCGCTCCCTAGAACATTTTCTAAAACTTTTTAGTTTGGGTTCGTGTGAAGAAACATTTCAATTCGTTTCGTAATTGACACGAATTACTGTAATATATAGCGTTCATAGATTCCGAAAAGGCTTTCGACAGTGTCGAACATTGGGCAGTGAAAAGTTCTTTGATTAACAGCAGAATTGACCACAGATATACGGAACTAATAGCCAATATATATAAAGAAGCCAAAACATCAATTAAAGTATATGAAGGAACAAAATCAGTACAAATAAATAGAGGCGCGAGACAGGATAACACAATATCACCAAAACTTTTCAATCAGGCTCTGGAAGATATTTTTAAAAGATTAGAATGGGAAGAAAAAGGTATAAAAATTTGGTGGACAACGCCAACGCTTGAACCATCTAAGGTACGCTGATGACATCGTATTGATAACCGATAAAAAAGAAGAGTTGTTTGAAATGATGAAAGAACTGGGCGTATAAGCTGGAAAGATAGGCCTTAATATGAATTATACAGCAAGACCAAAATCATAACAATTACAGATGAAGACATCACAATGAGGTTCGGACAAGATGAAATAGAACAAGTTCAGGATTATATATATCTGGGTCAAACTATAAAACTTAACAAAGAAAACCAAACAGCAGAGATAAAAAGACGAGTTAGACTGGCATGGGTATCATTTCGCAAACTAAGCTACATTCTTAAAAACAAAAGATATCCACAGCATCTTAAAACCAAAGTATACAATCAATGCGTACTCCCTGTTCTCACTTATGGTTCCCAAACGTGGACATTTACAAAAGCAAACATGAACAAAATCATTAAAACCCAAAGAGCAATGGAAAGACAAATGTTGCACATAAGACTAATGGATAAAAAGAGAAACGAGTTGATAAGAGAGAAAATAAAAGTGAAGGATGTTGAGAGAAGTTGCAAAATTGAAATTGAAATGTGCCGGACACAATATAAGACAAAAAGAAGACCGATGGAACAAAATTCTTATAAGTTGGAGACCGTGGGAATATAAACATAGCAGAGGAAGGCCCCAAATGAGATGGGCAGATGATATCAAGAAGCACGTGGGCTCTAGGTGGATGACTGTAGCGACAGGCAGAGAAGAAAGGATTGGGGAGGCCTATGTCCAAAGATGGACCAAAGAAGGATAATTATAGGAATATCTGATGAGTATATATACAGTACGTTAAGTGTTGGATTATGTATGGCAAATTACATATAGCGCTAAAATCGGCAACGTTGCCTGGTACGAGGTAATTGTAATTCTCCGATCCCCTCCGACATCTTAGCCTTAGACTCCGCGACACAAAACGAAAACCGTTTAGTAACGCAAGGGATATGTATGTCCGTACGTATACCCGGTTCATTTCTTATAACAAAAACTCAATAAAAATACTCTGACCATTATAAGTCGGGCATTTGTATCGGATTTTTAATAATGTGAACAATTTTTTGTGATTGAATTAAAAATAAAGCACATTTCTTTAAAAAGATAAAACAAAAAATATACACTTATTAGGATGATCGTAGATGATGATTTTTAAATGTCCCCAAAAAAATAAGTCCATGGGTGTAAGATCTGGAGATCGCGCAGGCCACTTATATCGCCTGTTCCACTGATAACTCGATTCGGAAAAGTATTGTTTAAGTATTCCGTAATTATTCGAGCGTTCTGAATTGAACAGCCGTCTCGATGGAAACAAACATTCTCCAGATTTACATCAGGGAGATTGAGAATTGTGAAATCAACCACGGTAGTTTTTTGGTTTTTATATCTAATATCATTTTTTTATTTATCTATAACTATGGGGTAGCTATACAGTGCTGATAATTTGTATCTGAATGTTTAATAATGTTTACAATGTGATCCCTCGATAAAATTTAAAACGATGACGTCGAAGAACTAGTTTTTGGAACAACGTATTTAACATAATTATATGAAAAATCCATTGTGTATAATATTTTCTTATCAATTACAGCTTTTGTTTTTTTAATAAAGCAAATATGTGCATCATATTTTATTTTTATCATTAGGTGCACTTTGAAAGATCTTAATCATAAAATGTACCCATTTAATAGAGATGTGTAAATCTTATCTAATAGTTCCGCTGTGAACGTTGTGTTGTTAAGATTTGACGTCGATATCATCTTTTTGTTAATTTTACGCTTCTATTTCTGGAAATGTTTATTATAATCATTGATGGCTAGTATAGTGAGCAGCAGACAGCCATACTATTCAAATAGAGGACTAATTTTAATCATTATGAATGCGACAACTGTTACAAACATGTTAAAAATAACGTAAATGTCCATCTCTAACTTTCTTAAGTGCCGTCTCCCAATCGGAGGTTGGATATCATCATCACTATCTTTACACTATCTTTGCTGGTCTGAAGAGTTCTATAGAACTGCATTTAAACCAGTCCCTTAAATTCTTCAACCATGACATTCTTCTTCTTCCTATACTCCTTCCTCCTCTTATCTTTCCCTGTATTATCAGCCTTAGCAGTTCATATTGTTGTCACCTCATTACTTGTCCCAGATATTGTAACTTTCTTATTTTTATTGTGTTTATTATTTCGCATTCTTTGCCCATTTCTCGCAATACTTCCGTGCTAGTTTTCTTCTGTGTCCATGCTATTCTAAGCATCCTCCTGTAACACCACATTTCAAAGGATTGTAACTTATTTATGTGTTCTTGCTTCAATGTCTAGCTTTCAAGTTCATATTGCAGTATCGAAAACACGTAGCATCTCAGTGCTCTTACTCTCAGTTTTAATTTAAGGTCTTTGTTGCAGAGAATTGTTTTCATTTTTACAAACGCATTTCTTACTATTTCTACCCTAGCTCTTATTTCGGTTGTTTGATCATTATTGTCTGAAATCCAGGTTCCTACGTATTTGTATTTATCAACCCTTTCTATTGGTACATTTCCTAAATGTATGTTTGTTGGTATATTTGTTTTCTTTGTTATTATCGTGTATTTGGTCTTTTTTTATATTCATTTTTAATCCCATTTTTTTTACAGAAAATGTTTGTTTTGTTTAGCAGTAATTGGAGTTGTTCAGCAGAGCTTGCCATAATCACGGTGTCATCTGCATATCTTATGTTGTTAATAGATCTTCCGTTAATGATTATTCCTTCACTTTGAGATAGTAATGATTCTTCAAAAATGGCTTCACGATATACATTAAATAGTAATAGGGACATAATACATCCCTGCCTAACTCCTCTTCTGATTTCAATTTCTGGACTGGGCTCGTTATCTATTACGATTTGTGCTCTTTGATTCCAGTAGAGGTTTGTTATTATTCGTAAGTCCCTATGGTCTATGTTTTTTGTCTTTAGAATTTGTACTAATTTTTCATGTCTTACTTTGTCAAATGCTTTTTCAAAATCAACGTAACAAACATGCACATCAACATTCATATCCATGCATCTTTGAGCCAACACATTAAAAGCAAATAACGCTGCTCTGGTTCCTAGTCCGTTTCTGAACCCAAACTGACTATCATCTATTCCTTCTTCCAGCTTTTTATTTATAC